AAATTGTTCGTTAAACTTATCATTCTTTCATCCCCATGCGACCATTTCTACCAACAATTCAAACGCTACAACTAGTGTTCGAATTCCCCTCGTCGATTCCACCATAAGAAATAACCTGTGCCACCCAAGCTTCGACTCGAATGTGAAGTACGAATCAAATAACATAACTGCTTCATCTTCGAGGCAACATCACGCTGGTATTTTGATTTTTGGATCGACAAGAACGGTGATCAGGAAGCGATCGCCATGTTTACCTCATAAACGTGATCGCTGACCAGCCGCTGAGTGAAAAAAATACGGCTCAGTGGTGAGGGGCAGGGTGCAGGCCGATTATGGGAAGATTTTTGGGAAAATTCGTAAATATGCATTAAAGTATCATAATAAGCATTAGGACTCTCAGTCTTAATGCGAAGGCATGCTTCGTGTTGCAGACAACTTTTGTTTTGCTTAGTATTCTTTTTTCTTTCAAATACATTTCGTTCCAAATAGGACTGACATCAATTCATCGATTTATAAACAAATCTTTATCATGTAAATAAACGTGTTTAGATAATTGAGATAGCCATTGAACCTCTTGCATCGCATGAGAAGTAACGTGTCTTGTATTTGCCCAACTCTGAGAGCGTGGAGCGGCAAAGATGCGAGACACGAGTCTCGCGTCTCGCGGCTTCTCCATGCTCACGGGATACGCGTGACCTCACCATCTTTAAGAAAAATAAGAGACTGCCCTGAGTCTGTATTCCGTTCAACCATTTTATAAGAGTGACAGGAGTCTTTTCAATTTAGTGAAAAAGTCACAAACCATTATTTACTTCACGAGCATAACCACTGACCACTCACGAATTACAGTAGGCTTCTCCTTTGGCGCGGAAATTAAAATCGTATTGAGAATTCAAAGTTATAGTGAGTTCCTTTAGATCTCCCGAACATGTATCGCGTTGGAAATAATTACAAGTACAGGAAGAAGTCGTTTGTTAGCGAGACGTTCATGTCTTAGGACTGCTTTTTGAATAGCAAAGATGGAAAAAACTTTGGTTCATCGCGTGGCTTAAGTGGTTTGGTACGACTGTCTGAATGCAATGATGAAGTAAAACATCATTTGATAAGCTGCCACCTGTCTAAAGAGGTCTTAAGTGAAAATTAGCTAATATTAGCGAGGACTGGCCTATTTCACCTCGCTCAGGAGGATAATAAAAAAATGTAGATTTGCCATAGGCATCGCCACACTTTGGGAAGTTTTGGAGAAGTGCAAAGGTAACATGTCAGTATCCTGATCATGATGGTCTCAGGAAGCGAATCCAAGGAAGAGACGTATTTACCTTGCATATGTCTCAGGATATTCCAAAGCTGTTTGGAGTTATTATTCCAGTTGAATCAGGTAGTCTTTAGTAACATTTTCTGTTATCTATTTTTTTCTCGTGACATATCTGCTCGAAAAGAGAAGAAACTCTTTATTAGATTAAGGGTACTTATGTACACATCACGTTGAAAAAACACAGCTCTATGTGCAAGTGCTTTTAATTGCAGATGGAAATATTTACAATGTTGCTTGGTTGATAATCAATCATGTTTTTGTCATTTGTTTTATTATTTGCGGTCAGTTTTCCTCAATTTGTATGATTCTCATTAACCAGCATGATTAAATTTGCAGACTAAAACACCCCTTATTTGTCCCTTATTTTACACCCCTTATTTATACAGTGCATGTCGGTTTTCAATTCCTGATGGCTGCTAGTGAGCTTCACTTTAGCTGAGTCGCTTACCTCAGCTCTCTAGTCCCATGCAAGCACAAGAAAAAAGTTCATGATGGTGAGTCTTGGCTGAGACTAGAAGAATCAGGGAAGAATCTACGGTCCCCAGAAACGTCACTTTTAAACACGAGACAACTAAGGTAAATTGAATAAAGTAGTATTTGGTTATTGAAAACTATCGTTCAGATTATAAGATACGCGAATTACTCTCCCCACCTTTCTTACATTCTGTTAGTCAAAAATTTTCAGCTTTTATTAAGGCTTTCTTTTTGATCGTCTTAATAGTAACAGTTGCCAGGATCCAAGGGGAGCAAAAGAGAGAACAATTCTCCGTGTAGTTAGGTAAAGCAACGTGCCGGCTTTATACTTCTTCCGGCGTGATAACGATAATGATGACAACAATGGGTAAAAAGCACCGTCCGCTAATAATGACGATTATCATAGTTATAAACAAATCTCATTTATAGTCCTGAAAAAAATCTCAGGGGGTCCTTTGAACCATCCACTTCATCTCGCCAAAAGTCAGAGTTGTCTACACTCATTCTAAGGTTCGCGCGATTTTATAACGAATTTTCAATTCCGGTGTGTTGCGCGCGCGACTTTTGATATAAAAAAAATTAACCTGCACGCGCCATAAAAGAACGTGTCAGCTGAATGAATCAAATCTCTATCATTTTGCCTGCATTCTTGGGAACAGCAAAAATGACTTAGAACAAATAGTTATAACAAATAGTATAGTATTCATTCCGTGCAATGATGACAAATAAATTGATAAATAAATAAATAAATTGATAAACAAAAGGTTCTGGTGAAGAAGACGCCTTATTTTATACCACAGATGACAAGCAAAAAGGTCATATGGGTACCCCGGTTAAAAATATATATTGATAACTCTGTTAATTAATACCAGTTCTAATTTAAAGGAGAAAGTTATGAGAATAAAACAAAAATTGTCTGTACCACGAAGCATGCCTTCACTGTTTAGACTGGGAGTCCTAAAGCTTTTTAAGCGTGTATTCAAATATCTTATGACGATAAGCCCGCCACCCACCACACCCCGCGCTGTACTGTTTTCATTCAGCGGCTGGTCAGCGATCACGTATGAGGTAAACATGGCGATCGCTTCCTGATCACCGTTCTTGTCGATCCGAAAATCAAAATACCAGCGTGATATTGCCTCGAAGATGAAGCAGTTATGTTATTTGATTCGTACTTCACATTCGAGTCGAAGCTTGGGTGGCACAGGTTATTTCTTGGAATCGACGAGGGGAATCCAACAATAGTTGTAGCGTTTGAATTGTTGGAAGGAATGGTCGCATGGGGATGAAGGAATGGTAAGTTTAACAAACAATTTCAAATTTTGTCGCTTGAATTGAAACTAAAGTTCATTTGAATTGCTTTCGTATGTATTTCTGACGGTTTTAGATCTACCTGATTGATTTATATCAGTTACGCTACATGTTGACAAGTCCCTCAAAATGGCGCCCAAACTTGGAGAAAACTTGCCGAAAATTAAGTAAGTTCACGGAGTTATAAAGTTTTCGTAAAGGTCGAGCCGCAAAGTTTTTTTTCTGTAGTTACCTTTTCTATGGCACCTACTTCATAGCTATGTTAGTTGAATCAGTTAAGAACGCCTCACTTTTTAAAAGATTTATTAAATTTGATCGGTTTTGGCGTGTGGGACTTAAGCGAACCGATAAGGTGTCATTCAAGTCTTCCTGTATACTTGATTGAAACGTGATGTTCACGAAAGTCGCCTCGATGGATAAGATAGAGTTAAATTAATATACATGGCTAAGGTATTTGTTTTTTGCTGAGTTCCGTATTTTTTTGTAAATTGTCCTCCATCTCGCTAGTTCCTTATCAATTTCAAAATCGTCATCTGTAATTTTCAGCGGAGCTCTTCGCGTACATCGTGAGCCTCTCTAGCATAGCACCGCAGACCTCAGGAGAGCGAATGAAACTTTGGCGCGAATCCATGAAATTGTTGTACTGTAATCCTCTCCCTTCTTGGTTGATAAAATTTAGCCAATCGAATGTGATACCTCTTGCATTCATCTGCCATTCCTCAGGTGGTAGTAAATACCAACGGTGTAAAGGAGCCTTATTCGACTTTTAGCACCCTAAAAGCGTTTAAATTGTCACATGTGTGGATGCTATCAGGCAAACTGTTCCAGATAATTTGGTTTTAAATGTAAATTGGCCACCACAAGGAGTTCTTAAGTTGACGTTTTGAGCGTTAGTCCCTCGTCAGAGCGAATAGAGGAATCGTGGGTTGTGTGTGTGCTTTTATGTAAAAAAATGGAGCTACGCTATCGCCAGGAACATGGTGACGAGAAAAAAGAGAATAAATTAGTTAAATGAAAAGCGTTCGTTGATACCGCGGGGATTTATGGTGCCAATTTGAAAGATAAATTTTTGTTCTAGAGTCTTGCGGCTTTCCGAACTGCCTCGATGTGAGGAAAGGCTGCAAACTGCCAAAAGTTTGTTTGAATGATAAGGGGAATGTAAGTGTCAAGGTTTTGGTTTAGATGCGTCTATGTCATTCCTTTAGAACCACATCACAAAGGTGTTCTCGGAAGATGTTTTAGGCGACCGATTCACGGTATTAACAAATGATTTTCATTCAACTAATTTATTCTTAAGAAAGTATTTTTTCGTCTTGTCACGAGCGTGGGACAAAGAAAAAATTCTGAGTCCCCATGAGGAATCGAACCTCAGACCTTCGGATTTGCGCTCCGATGCTCTACCACTGAGCCACAAAGACTCTTCGGTGAGCTTGCACAGTTAAGGTTGATTCCGGCAGTCAATCAGAACCATAACGCGCAGTTTTGTTAATTGATTTTATGATATTCTCGTAAAAGTGGTTAGTTGAGTGTTTTAAAGACGAATGTCTAATCTTGCAAGGTCAGTCAGCTAGCATGCCCACCCACGCTTATCAGTAACGAACATAGAAGCATGTACTTTAGAGCTTACCCAGCAGAAGAATGTAGACGTGCGTTTGCAGTTAGAAAGTCAAAAACCATCAGTGGGACATCAAAACTTGCTGACCTTTCACATTAACATGCGATCGACTGATAATAAGTCGACGTTACATTTAATTAAAGTTTTTCTTACTAAACTGCCTATTCACCTCAACAGACCGTGTGTTACCAGAAACCAGTCTAAATGAATCATTCAAGTTGCTTAACAGCAGAAAAAGACGGCTCCATCTCACCTGCACAGTCAATTATCTCAGTTAACTTAAACATGGCCCTGCTTGTCTTGGCGTCTCTGTGCAACATTTCAGCAGAATTCATTTTGTTTCGACGCACACTGCGAGGAAAGATCATGGCCTCTTTCATGATCAACTTGACTGCGATTTCTTTGGTACAATCAACATTTGGCTATGCCCTTACATTAAGTGGAGACACGGTTGAGAGATCATCGAAAGGTTACTTTCTGTGTCAGTGGGTAGCTTTCACAGACCTTTTCTCCCAGTGTGCGTATTCCTCTACCTTGTGCGCGATGAACGTTGTGTCAAAGCTGGCCTCTGGTCGATGCTACCTTGGAGCATCACAGCAGATACCAAGGAGAAGCAAAATGATATTCTTCACAGCATCTTGGTTATGCTCCATTGCTTTTAGCAGCATGCTTCTGAGTGAAAAGAGTTTCTCTGTACTTTCGACGTCGAAGTTTACGTGCCACCTGGACTGGGCCTCTCAGGAAAGGCACGTTTTTATCGTCAACGTCACTGTTGTCCTCGTGTTTCTACTTCTGCCCTTACTTATATGCTCCATTACACAATATTTTTGTACCAGGTAAGTGGTAATTAATAGGAGTTTTATCACCCTATTGAAACTAATTTCTGAAGACTTTTAAACTTCCCTGCACAGGTTAAACGATCATACCCCATCTATTGGTTGCTATAGCTCCAAAGATGGCTTTTTTTTTCTAAGACAGACCTAAGAACCAGCATCGAATAACAACTCTCACTCCAAAAAAGGTGACATTCACAAGTTGTGGTCATTCTGATATACCAATTACCGCTTTGGTTACAAGACACAAAAAACATAGATCTAGCTAAGCCTGAAAGCGGAGCTCCAGTTAGTCCTCCAGCCCTTCACTTTATTGGAACTCTTTAACACCGGCCGTCGAATAGGTTGTTCAAGAGGGATATAGGTACTAGTCTTGGGGAGGAGGATTGAAGGGGGCTGGAACCGAGGAACAATGTTCTCACAGTTTGCAAAGCAATCAACACGCATGCTAGTTAGCAGTATTTTTAAGCAGCTGAAGACTTTCGTTGATGTTCCAAATGTTTTGAGCTGATTTTCGAGGATAGGGAATGTTTTCTTCTTCAGATGTAGTGTATGATGTCCGTATCAATAGAAATTCTATTCTACCGAGAGTGACGGATAATTTCGATTTGGGAAAAAGAATCAAAACTGTAAGAAAAGACGATAAACGACTGCGAGTTTAGATATCACCTGTCGATTGAAAGAGTAGAGACGTGAGAACAGTGAGGCAGTAAAGCAATACGCCAGAATCGTATGAGCTTCTCTTACATCTTCTCTTGATGCCAGATATGACTGCTTGCTCCACCGATTTTTCTCTAACGTTTCAATCTCTTCTGATAAGCGTAGAAAATTGAAAAGAAAAGTCACTTTCAACTCGTGTTTAAACCTGTACCTTTTTCAACTTCTTCTCTCTTGACTGTTCGCGTGTTATGATTATGAGGCTTGAAATACACGGTGTCAATCACGGTGTCTTTTTGACATTTTGTCTGTTACTTAATTCGGTAACCTCTGCTGTAACTGCGTTTAACGTCAGTGTCTTTAAACCAACTATCCATGATTTTGGCCTGGACTGAGGTTTTTAGCATGCCAGCAGGTTTGGGAAAATACATTTATTCATCAGGAAAGTGACATCTTTTTAGCCTGGAAACATTGTCAAAAGCCATACTTGTGTAAGGTAACTCACTCGTATTCTGTTCAACTTGATTTAGGGAGAATAGAATATATTATTACATAAATCTGATCAGTGCACAGGCTGTGCACAACAATTTGTTTTGACTGTACTTTTATAGCCTTTTATATACCAATCCCTACACATAATAGAATGTTAATCATGATGTTAATATGCCATACACCTGCAACATTTCTTTTAAATATAAAGAAATTTTCAAAAGACTTGTCGTTGACTGATACTAGGAGATCTAAGAATATTCAAAAGTATGTAAAATTTGGTTGAAAAACTAGAACTCAGCGTAGGCTAGATGGGGAAGATTCTACGTACATGAAAAAGCTAGGAAAAAGTTTTTACAACGCCTGCCTGGTGGTCACAATCCTCGTTTTAATGTTGAAAACACTCATAAGCGTACAGATTTCCCAAGTGTATAAACTTTTAATTTAAGCCTGCTGTGACTTAAAATCTTTGATGCACCCTCCAAAGGAGACCAAATAAATTTCAAGTTTCTATTTATTCAGTTAAGCTAGTCAGGTAAAATGCACCCCTCAAAAGGAGACCAAATAAATTTCAAGTTTCTGTTTATTTAGTTAAGCTAGTCAAGTAAAATTAAGTCAAACTTTCTTGCGAAGACACAACCAAGTACCTTCATATACCTTATAACCTTCACGTACTCATTAAACCAGGTTTATACCCATAATGCGAAAGATCACCTTCGTTTGCAAGAAAATTATGAGCGAATTGGTCGCAAACCATAGCCCTGGGTCTGCCATAAATTTTAATTTCCAGAGAGTACTTTGAAAATGGCAATTTTCCCATGCACGAAAGAACTATCGGCCGAAAGAGGGCAGGCTTTCCATTCTTCATTTAAAAAATACCGAGGTTTTCATATTTGGGGCTGCAAAATAATCAAATAATCAACAAATTATGCCAATTGTTGAGAGTCAACATTTAAGAGCCACTGACCATAAATATCGAGAATCCGCCGAAAGTTGCAAAATTTCGTAACTCGTTTTTTTTTCAAAGTACCCTTTTGATGAACCTTTCCAAAATTTATATAAAATGCCCCAGATTCTCTTTCTTTACCCGCCGAAAGTGGTGCGCACTTGTAATCATGAACGTCGCTGACTTGATCTCATTTTATTTCAATTTTCGGAAGGGCCATTACCTCAGCTCTTAGGGTAAAAACCGCCATCTTTGAGCTAAGCGCGATTTTTTTTAATGAATAAAGTAAACCCTGCGGTAGTTAACTGAAGAGTGAATGATAGAAACTTGCTTGCGCCGTTCACTGCTATTTGAAAACTTAATAGCCAAAAAATAATTACCTTCTTTTCCCTTAACACCACGACTGCATTAAACATTCCAAACGATAGGAGATGAAATAATTTGGAGAATACGAACATTCTGAAGTGCTGTTTGGGTGATGAACCTGTTTAAAGGTTTATAGAGCGAAGAATGCCAAATTTTTTACCAAAACGTGATGTAATTTTTGCCTTCATCAAAACAGCAATAAATGATAAATTGAAGCTATTATCAAACGACAAAGCTTCAGCTCTGAGTATTGTTGATTTTGCAACTAGAATTGCACAGTACCAAGAGTAACTGAAACCACAACCTCTCTAAAGGTGCTAAGAGTAGCACCTTGTGCGCAGGGACTACGGTCGAACACCAAACCAAATTCTGGGCTTGATAGAGTACAACTAATTTTTATACGTATAAACTCCGCTTATTGATCTCCTTGAATGTTTCTGAGTTTTCTCCTTAATTTTACTACCTTTTACCTCCTGGAGTCTATGGTTAGTAAAGTTTGCTAATGTTTCACGCGAAAAAAAAAATTTCCCAAGAGCCAGTTATTTGTGGTAATCATTTTTCTCTCTTCATTCTCATAGAATATGGAAGAAGTCTCGCAACGTAACAGACCGTGCTCGTAGAAGAGGCTTAGCTTATCGTAGAAAGTCTAACCGTATGGTAATTGCCCTAACTGTATGTTTCTTCGTCAGCCAGCTGCCCCTTAATATGGCAAACATAATTGCCATGACAATAGAGTGTTACAGTTATCAATTTCAAACAGTGTTCATTTTGGAGCTACTCGCTAAATCCAGTGCATATCAAGCTCCCTTTGTTTACGTGTTTCTGAATGCTACTTACAGGACTACGTTAAAACAAATACTTATGGGCTCACTGGCTGCACAAAAAGGGCCAGGTTCTCGACTTGCAGGAAAAAATGGAATGGCCGCTGCCGAGAATGGCCAGCAAGGGAGGAGGATGCACATGCCTAACAACAAAGTAGGTCAGTCACCAAAAGCGATTTATCCGGCAGATGAGCAACTGAACGGCATGGAAGAAACCCCAAACAGCCTGGCGCGTTCGACCTAGACTTAACTGGACAATAAACTTTAAATTAGTCCAACTGAACCTAAATGATGTGTAACAGAAACGATAAAAGGGGCTTTTTACCTCGAGCTGTTCGATACTTATTTAAGAGCGCCATCTTTCAATTGAAGGACAAATTGAGTTAGAAGACGTTCAATGACAAATGAAGGTATTATCTAAGATTTTACTTTATAGCCCACTTGCTTCGACAAGACAACTCAAAAAACAATCCCAAGCTGCTAGAAAACCTTATATTCCAACTTAAGAGCGATGCTCTGTAAAATGTCGGAGTGGTCTTGTAGGAAAGGCAAGTTCACCGATTTGGCTCAAATTTTGCATGTAGACTTGATTAGGGGTTCTGATCACGAAATTGATATTTTAGTAATTTATTTTCCGTGGAAAATTCATTAAAGCTCACAGCCATTTGTAGCCCCTGAGGGACGTGGAAACGAAGCTGACCAAGAGCAACTTTTCAACGCCTGGGCTTCCTTCGCTTTCTCCTTTGAATCTGTTTTTACAATAAAACAAATTTGCTACTCTTTCTGCGTAAATGGGTAAATTTTGCAGAAAAATATACAGAGGGATTGAAACGCGCTATTCAGTCTACCCAGTTTTAGGTGTTTTAAGATCCCTAAAAAATAACGTAAGTTCAGAAGATTGTAGCACTTTTGATTTGTCCAGTTGGAATAATTTGTAACTTTCCGAAACAACATTTGTCATAGGTTATTCTGCAGGAAATTCAGGGCTGGGCAATTTCAATGCGCTCCCACACCGCCCAGGAGAATATGATAAGGTTCCTGAACTTTTAAGACGCAGTCTCTCTTAGAGCGGCTCGGTGCATTTCAGTTCAAAAGATCAATTTCTTTCAGTCTTTGTCCATGAATCTATCTTAGTTTAAAAATAATCGAAACCACCTTGGTTTTCCGAAATATCGAAAAAGACATTTTCCTCAGCGAAAATCGCTTCAGCGCTCAAAGGCTCATTTTCGACCGCGCCGATCATCAAATATGGCACAAATTGCCGTGCTCGTCTTTCCACAATTCTCTTTTGAGGAGTTTCTTGCCTTGCATATTTAGATCGATCCTTAGAACTTGGTTGCTCTTTTTTTTGCCGCTAGGAGTCGCAAAGAAACGTTGTTTACCTATATAAATCATGCTTCACGCACTATCATGCACAGATAGGAGATGAACTTTATTCGTTTGTCTCACTTTCGATGTTGATCGCGACGTTTCGACTGCAATACTACTAGTCTCAACAGGCGATGAGGTCCATTGTTTACGTGTCGCAATTTGTAGCACGATGATCCCACGTGAATGCGGCAAAGTGTATATCGGAATAGAACGTGATTGTAGATGGCTAATCAAGAGGGGTTTTAATCGTTGTTCTCCCTCCTCTAGCAATTCATCTTTCCAATCAGTATTATTTACCATGTATGTTCGCCCTTTCACTAATGTTTACAATCACAACATCCTTAATCTTAAGTGCTTTAAGATCGCCACGCTGGGTGTGGTATTAACATGCACTTCGTTATATCCCTAACTTCTTCAATTTATTTTTTGATGCCTTGAGCATATCCTCACTTCCCTGACATTCGATAGTAGCAAATCAAAATGGAAGAATGAGTTCATATCCGGGTAAAGTTTTGCTGAATAGATGTCGAGAGTTGATTGGCTTCAAGGCTTGTGGACTTTGTAACATCTCTAAAGCTAACACTTGTTTTTCCGTTTTTTGAAACAAGATAAAAGGCTTGGAGTCCTTATTTTGTGTTTCGCAACTCGTGAGGCAAATTAAATTTTGGGAATAAGTAGCAAGTCATAACTGCCATCAGTTTGCGCGTAAATTCCGTATACATTAAGTTATTTTTCCCTGATTTCGTTGATAAGGTGGCTAACGGAGAAAATAGGTATCAGAATAGGTTTCAGAAATAGGTATGGAAAGCGTACATAGTGGACATGCAAAAAAAGGAACAAGGAGATTGATAAACTGAGATGGTTTTGAATGTAAACCAGGGCACTAAAAGAGGACAAGTTTAAGGGTTAAAAATGACTGGTTGACTAACCTCAGACAATATCGTCCAATATTTAATTGGAATAACAGAGTTCAAATAATTTCAATCGAACAGGACTAACTACATTGTTAAGAAAATCAACAATACAATGGTCAAACAAATGAAATCAATGTTGCTTTTAGTTTTTTCTCAGTCTATTTGGCTAACTGGCGTATTAGACTGGAATCTTCAATTAGAAAAGAGACATCTTGCAAGGGTCAAACATGCAGAGAAACGAATGCATTGCAATGTCAAACTAAAACAAAACATAGGGACTAAAAAGGAGATGCCTCTAAACTACAAGTGCTGTCATGCCCAAAACTCACGCCACTGTCTCAACGAAACGAAACGCCGATTTGCGTTTACTAAAGCATAGATGCGTTCATGGGAGGGTGCCATGGCACAAAATCACGCTAATTGTTTATCAAAAAGAGTGAACATGTGACAGCATATATATAATGCATTCAATGGGGGTTCCGTGGCATTTTTCCATTGCGTGACATTCTTAGGGCCTGTTTACACGGTACGACTTTGTCGCATGCGACAAGCTTACGACAGGCTTACGACACGAATTGTTTCGTGTAAATCAAACCTACAACTCGCTTACAACTCTTAAGTCATGTCGTAAGCCTGTCGTAAGCTTGTCGCATGCGACAAAGTCGTGCCGTGTAAATAGGCCTTTAGAAAAACAAGAAATCAATAGCATAACACAATAGGGACTTTCGCGAGGAAATTGCTATTGCTATTGTTTTGAGGTCATATAATATTTTCGACCAATCAAAGACTTCACATTTTCACTTCACAATTGTGAAATTTTTCATTGAAACTCTTACCATTTGTGAGGTTTGTTGTGTAGAGATGCCTTTATGGGGGGTTCTATAGCACAATTTACATGCATTAACAAAATCTTTATACATTATTATTTAGAAGGACCTTAACTAAATGCAAATACTAATCAAAGTAAGGAGTAGGGTATTTTATTTAGTCTTGTTTTTTATGGCTAATTTTTGTCATTGCTTCTTCCCTTGAACATTCGACATACCTGACCTTTTTGTAGTGTCTTTCTTTGTCAATAATAATGTCAAAGTACAAATGTGAGCGTTTTTCATCGCCTTGTATTGCTATTTTTTAACTTAATTTTGTTATTCTTTCTTCAATTTGTTTTTTATTCTCTGTTTTTATCTTGTATTCAACCTTTTTATGAGTTTTTAATGAATTACATCGCACGTTTAACAACTTGTTACCATATTTTTAGCATATTCTTCAATTTAAGCATTTTCACCTTTTCAACCTTTTTTTTTATCAGACGATGGAGCTGCAATAACCAATTCGATTTTTGGATGACTGTGTTTACGTTTACGTTTACGTTTACGTTTACGTTTACGTTTACGTTTACGTTTACGTTTACCTAGCTATTTTTGTTTGAGAAGTGCCATTCGAATCGTGTTTTGAAGTCTTCCCATGTTGAACCACTGTACACGCCTTTGTCATTGAAGGTAACTTTGTATTTCTTTCCGTTTACAAACAGGCTATTGAATTAGCTGTTTTTTAATTCTAACACCGAGAGGAGATTTTCTGTCAAAGTATTTGTCGTTGAGCTCTTTGAAATTCATGTGAAGGTAATCAAATTTCTTTGTACGAGAAAGTGCTGTATATAATTACTTTTTGTCCATGCGATTGATATCGTAAATATTTTAATGTTCATTGATATCTGCACCCTGATATTTATAGACGGTTACAAAAAAGCTATGCATAAAATTTTCTGCAAATTCCTTGGTGTCAAAGTATTTATTGTTTACTCTAAATTCATTGTGGGATATATCTTCAATAACAAACTCCATGGTGTTGTATGTTCCTTTTTCTTTGATATTTTGTGATACAATGACAGGCATCCTTTTCTGACATTGCAGTTGTAGTCATACATCATATTTTCTTTGTAATGCTTCTCGAAATATGAAAATTCACTATCTGCAACAAATGCCTCTCCAATTTTTTTGGTACTAAATTTGACATCTTTTTCGTTTTTGAAATTAATTTTGGGATTTGTCAGATATGTGCCGCCTGTATTGTATTCACGCAACATGCAAGCATGCAAAACATGCAAAATGCAAGCATTTCAAAATAGTTTCCGATGTAACAAAATGATTAATGCTTGTGCTGTCAGAAAATATACGTTCCACTTTTTGTTCTCCGATCAGAAATATACCATTGTGATGGTCAATAGTCACATTTCTTATATCAGCCATGGCACTTGTCCAACAACACATAGCAGAATCGTAATCAGTGCAAGTGAAACCATGATTGATTCTGTTGTATTTTCTTCCAAGTTCTCCAATAAAGCTGACGATAAGTTTTTCGGCATCGCTTTCTGGAAAGGTGTCAAAAAACATACTTCATTAATTTCTTGAAAGCGTCTGGTTGTAATGCTCTTTTTGTGACAAGTTTGTATTTCACATTCATTAATGGCATGGTCAAAGTATGTACAAGATAAGACACAAGATTTGAACTATAAAAATCTGCTTCTATTATTAGAGGTGACTTGTAATTATCAAGGACGGTTTAATCGATATAGAATTCTCTACGTTGTCTTAAATAGTTTTTGCAAATAAATGGTTCAATCGCATCATGAATACTGTGCAGTTGAATTGGTTGGGAATTGTTTGAGAGCACATTTGGATATGATTTTCAAATGTCAATTTTTTCACAACATCATCGGGAATATCATCTGTTGTACACCATTGCAATGCCCTTTGATAAAAATCATCAAGTATTTGTCTTGTGCTTACAATGTATGAGCTGGTAGATAGAAATAAGAGAGATAGTAAGTTTTGAACTCGGTAAAGAAATGGAGAAAGATGTTTTTTCGTCTTGTCACGAGCGTGGGACAACGAAAAAAAGTCTCCATGAGGAATCGAGCCTCACACCTTCGGATTCCGCGCTCCGATGTTCTAACCAC